TTTGAAACAAGACTTCACGCACATTGATCTAAATGAGTGTAAATGTAATCCATGTGCCATTACATAAGAGTAGCTCAGTTTGCCCAAAGTGATCTTGGCCTAAGTTTTGGCTTCTTATTTTTGGCTTCTTACTTTTAATTCATTCTGTACTTATGTTCATTCTTTTGCAATGAGATTATGTATTTGGGTTGATTTCCCTGTTTTTACATCATTCATTACTCAGTGAACGTGATTTGCCATATTACCTTCTTTGATACAATTTCCTTGGTGCATCAGCATGTACCTCTGCTTCTGAAAGACTACAGCATAGCTGTAACCAAGTTAACACTGTATTTCCTCTTTCTTTTACCCTCAGTGACTTTGATTTACTTATGGACTTTGAGCAGTTTTCCTTCAGAATCAAACTCAGGCCACTTCTGCTATTTTTATTCTGGAGGGTCTGTCATGCCAGCAAACAGCCTTATATTTACAGCAGTTAATAATGATACTTATTCTACTGCATTACACAGTTGTCTTTCTATATTAATGCATTTTTCATCTCTTTTGGTGCCCTTGGGCTTCCAGCACCCATTTCATTTGTGGATAAAGCACTTGTATGGCCCTCAATCGTAAACCATTCAAAACATCCACAGTGAAAAATACAACATGAGAGAGCCCTGGAGGGCCTGTCCTCCACTGCCCAGAAACTGTGAAATCACCCACATTTAAAATATACACTCTGTCTCTTGTGTTTCAGATTGCTGATTTTAAATGGCAACAGTCAGGGCACAGGGGCTGGAGAGGCATAAAGTGGCCTGCAAAAGCAATTAAGTGTCACAGAGACATTTGGATTTGATAACAACAGAAGATTGTTTACTGGCCTGTTTACTCCTGACTGTGAATACTCTGCTGCAGGTACATCAGGAATCTGAACAATCCCCAGCACTCTGACACGTTTGTTGCTCTGCTGAGACTCTGTAGCACATGCACATTTCCCACTGGCACCACTGTGGAGGTGGCTTTCCTGAGGCTTTCTGCTCCAAATTATAACCTACAGTCACATGGGCAACACACTCATCAAACAAATACAACCTTCAGAGCTGATCTCCATCCTGCACCCGCTTGTTTTGTGTGCTCCCATTATCCCACACACTCCCACACCATGTTTTTTCCTCTCTGGTAAGACCACGGCCAGACCACAGGCTTTACTGCTAGAAAATCCTCATGAGTTCAGGATTCAGACAGCATGGGGGACCTACCGCACTTACCACCACCTTGCAACCACTGCTCACCCCAGGAAGGCTGGCACCCTCAGTCACCAGGAGGGGAGTTAACTCCCCACTGCTCAGGCTTTGTCCCAGGTCCGAGTGCTAACTTGCTCTTTTCAGACATAGAATAACAACTCTCCCTTTAAAAGCCACCCATGTAGAACTGGACAGCCCAAGAAAACAAGCTCCTGCAGTGGGAGGGCCCCAGGCCAGTGGGCTGCAGCAGCCATGGAGCTTTCCCACTGCGCCTGAGGTGAGGTGAGGGGGGTTTTCCAGCTACTCCCTCCCCCAGGCACGGTGAGGGCCCTGGGCTCACACCTGACATGACACCACCCGACATCCACACCTGATACTGGAGGGATGGAGGTGCAGGGAAGCCCAGCCTACACCGCTGCTCCTTCAACGTCCCATCCTTGTGAGGCAGGGCTGCCCTGTGTAACTGGGAGACTATTTAATGGCTTCTGTCAGAGGCAGCATCCACGGGACCATGCCACAGCTCCCCCAGGCAAGGGCAGACCAGCCCCCAGGGCCTCCTCCACTCACTAGTGCAAGGTCTCACCACATCTGCAGAAGTTGTTTTGATCACTCTCTGTGAGAAATAAAATCAGAAGAACAAAAGATCGTAAGTGCTCCATTTTTGGTTGTTTGTTGGTTTGGGGTTTTAAAAACATTTACTGGGATGTATGTCTAATGCCTAAGATTATCTAGTATTTCATTTTTATCTCTGAATATATATACATTGCCTATGGATATAACAGAAAGACACAATAATGAAACTATGACTTATTTACCTGCTGGGGGAATGCTAATGAGTGTTCTAGTAATGAAAATGCCTTCACTAGTTTATAAAATGCAAAACAGCAGGGAACTCACTGGAGACCCCATAAGCATATGTCAATAAACTTATATTATTCACAAGTACACAAGCCTCCCAAGACACCAGTTTCCCAGCCCCCTTTAATTTCCTGACTGTTCCTGACTGTCTCATGTTTTGAGCAAAGTCAAAGACTAATTTTCTGTCTTCCTCAAACCTCTAAAGTTTTTGCAGAAGCCAAAGAATCATATGAAAATTGTTCCATTCAGATGTAAACTGAATATTTTATTGGCTAATTCTTCATATTATCCAATCTACATCTATTACAATGTGCAATAGCAGTACAGAACAATTGTATCTATGACCATAAACATCTGAACATAAATGACATTTTACCAGAGTGCTCCGTCAATGCAGACATAGCACTGATACAGTGTGCTCTCATTCACAGTGGTGCTGTTCTGTTTCTCTCCTTTGCATCAATCCTGACAATATTAACATCTGTAACAATCACTAACCAGTCTCGTTTCAACACTTCCAGTGTACACTGCCAAGCTCTGCAGCATGTTACAAGTAAAACAGAAGGTGCTAATCCCCACCAAAGGTGATTGTTCAGCCAAAACTCAGATCAGTGTTAGGACTTTAACAACAAAAAAAGACACATTAGAATACAAGCCCAGGCATCTGTTGCCATAGAAAGATTGTGATTGTTGTATTTCATGTCCCCCCTTCATTATAAATCCACTTTGCATCCTTTATAACAGCAAGCCTACCCTCAGAAAAAATTATTTGATGCTCCTGTAGATGTCATATGTGCCCTCTACTTTTACAGCACTTCTATTGTAATTCAACATTAATTATCTTTCCAATTAATGTACTACATAATGCTGCAATATGAAATGCTCACATTTTGTAAATGAGAAAATTGAGCTCCGTTCTGTCTGCTTTGATCCCATCTTACTTTTATTCAGTACCAGAATTTTTTCCCTTTTTGGTTGGGTTATTGACACTGAACACACACAAGGGAGCTATTTATGTTTTCCTTTTCCAAGAAAAGACCTCCAATTTATCTTTTTCAATATCATTTTAACATACTTTCCTGACATACAATTGTTAGTGAATAGCCCATAAGGGAAATGGAGGTGACAGAAGTCCTAATAGAGCAGCACTTACCAGTTACCATAAATGTAGACATCATACATACCTACAACTCCTGGAAAATGGTAATTGCAAAGCAGATCACAAATGCAGAAAAAAGTGAAATCAAAACTGTGGTCAGGGAGTGAAAAAACCCTCTTCTTCAGAAGCTGAATGATCCAAAATATTCCTTAAATGTTGTGTGTCAAAATTACCATTCAAAGTTTTAGTGCTGAGTACCATAATAAAAAAATATAAAAGCTAAAATACAGAGAGAGTATAAAATATAGAAATGGAAAATACATTTACAAAATTGCTCCCTGTATTTATAACTGAAAGAATATATGACTGGTGATTTTCCACAATGAGGAATTTAATGTTTATGTTTGTTTGGTTTAGCTGCTGTCAACAGCAATCTTTGTGGGGTACTGGATTTGACCTCCAACGCCACCATCTCAAAGCACTTCACAGTGTTCTTTCATCCTGAATGTGCTGAAGTGCTTGAGGAAGGTACAAATTCTCCCTTTCCCCGGTGACATTATGTTTAGCTTTCTTCCCTGTTACTCCACCACATCACTTTAAACTGAGACAAACCTGTCACACAAAGAAAGCTGCAGAAAAATCAGTCAACTCTTATGCTCACTAGTCTTACACAGGTTCTTTAATGCTCATCACTAGTGGCAAGTACTGAGTACGTGAATATGCGTGGAGAAGAACTTGCGGATCAAACTGAAGGAATTTTAGAATGTCACCTATAAAATATTCCCTCAGATAGCTAAACAACCTCATTTTAAATAATATTTCTGGTAAAGAAGTCTATTTTTAAGAGTATATTTAGCAGCAGTTTATTTACAACCTTGAGATAGGATCTCCCCTCGAACTGCCTCGGAATACTTCATTGTAATCTGAGACTTTAAGGGCACAGCCCGGCTATTACTGATCTCTCAGTAATGAAGACAACCCACTTTAATAGGAAGTAGTGCTTCTGTTTCAACACCATCCTTGACCTAAGCCTTTTGAACATACTTTTGTTAATTGCCTAGCAATGATCTTGACCTACTGCGGCAGCAGGTACAGCTGAGGCAAATAGCCACGGAATGATGCTGCTTTTTCCAGTGCCTCTGTAAAGGTTATAGGGAACCTCAGAATTGTTTTGAGATAACTTTAGCAACCTGAAACTTTGTTTTGTATTAACCCACTTCATTCTGATATGGTTTGATTTTGTGATTTCTGTTTAGCTTTTCCATTCTCACTGGTGCCTTGCTTGAGGTTTACTTAAATGGCCAGTACTACAGCTGTTAATTTTGAAAAGAAATTCACATCTGCATTGATCCTTCCTTCCCACCATGTGAATGCTAATCTCTGGGACACTGGTATCTTAGCTAGTCAGCCTAAGGACCAACAGCTGCAGGGTTTTTGCACCCTAAATGAGCTGTACACAACTGTCATTACTGCAATAAACACAGCTAGAATGGGAGAAGAAAATTAAAAGGTAATGTACCCAGAAAGACAGAAAAACAAGATTTTGTAGAAACCTGAATAAAAAACAACAAGATATTCCAAACTATGTACTGAAGTTTAGCTGTCTTAATCATTCCCATCACTGCCAGACTTTTAGAAGTCTGGGTTTCTTTACTTTTTTCTTACATTTGTCAGCACACAGAAAGTAGCAAAAGACAACTACAAAACCTTCTGAAATTTCATTTTACACTATGAACTTAGAAATTAAAATTACATATGAATCCTATGAACTTAGAAATTAAGAATCAAAATGATACTTCATTATTGTTTTTATAATCCCTTGGAAAATCACTTCCAACACGCAGAACACATCTCGAGTCATTTCAGCATGTTTAATTACAAAATATATATTTCACACAGCATTCTACTGGGTAACAAGAAGTCAAAGCTAAAAATCAGTGTTAAAAACAAGAGAGGCCAAAGAGCTACAGGTCATTTAAGAGAATCCAGTGGCCTCAGTGATAATAACTGCACAAGCAAGGACTGCTTGTGTGAGTTGGGCCAGCAGAAACAGGTTTGCATATTGCGTGTATATTCAAAGTTTTTAAATAGGATAATGTCCTGGTTTCTGTTTTGAAACAGAAGTGAATGAAAAGAAACAGAAGTGAGTGAAAAGCAGCCTGAACATTAGTGGCTTTTTTTATGTAAAGGAGACTCAGGCCTTGTAATACACATCAGATTTAAACTTCACTCTCAGCTTAATTCCTTCTAAGCACATTTAAAATTCGTCATCCTGGTTAAGAGCTTCAGTGAACAGATTCTTCCAGTCTCCAAAAACACCTGGAAAATGAAGACAAGTAAATTATTACCCTTGACTCTAAGGACCAAGGAGTATAATTTCAAACAAAAGACTAACTTTTCTCTCTTATTATCATACTTCGGGATAATCCATTTTTTTAAATTTTTTTTCCTGTAAGAAAAAAACATCTGACTCAAGAATACACTCATATGTTTGCCTTATGTTTGGTGTCCTCAAAAGAATGTGAACATAAAGCGACCACAGGAAGCTACTGGTCTGCCTTCATAACTTTGACGTGTGCTTTGTACAGCTGCGGAATACTATACAAGGTGACCAGCAGCTGTGAAACCAATCCAGAAAGTTCAGAGGTGGGGCTTTTAACTGCAAAAGCCTTGTGTGCTGCAACCAGACATTGCCCTAAGCTGCAGTTTACTTCTAATCTAGATTTTGGAGAGCCCACAGTTGAAGGTTGTCTGAGGTTCTACCCTACCCTAATCCATGGCTAAAAGACACAGATCACTCTGTGGAGTGTGCGGATTCCACGTGTTGATTGTGCAAGCAATACACAATAAGCAATCACAAGGGTTATTTAGAAAACCCAAGAAGAAAAATGTGTGGAGGCATTCTGTAGACCAAGTGCCAGGCTATCCCCAGTACTCACAGAAACAAAAATAAAATTCTTCTTTGTTTTAGTTGGTGGTTAGTGCCTGTCTTGACCAAAGGGTTTGCTATTTGTAGCTAATCATATTATACAGGGCTTTACTGAATGACACTTGCCCTGTGATAAAATCAAGTGGGAGATTCCTGAAGTACAATCAGGGTTTCTTAAACAACACCCAGCCTTGAAAATTATACATAGAGATTAATCATCTACTGATCCAAATTCCTGTTTGTCCAAGATAAAGAGCTACCATTCACCACTCTGGCAAGATACAAACAAATTTACCTTGGCAGAAAAGTATCAAGCCAACTGTACCATAAATCTCCTGAGCCTTAACTCTCACTGCCTGGAAAGTGTCCCTTTCTGCAATGGCCTGGACCTGTTCAACTGCTGGGGAGAATCCAAAGAATTCAGCTATCTGCTTTACACTGGCAGTCAGGTTATGAAAGTAACACAGTGAAAATGGGACATGCAATATGCTTTCTCTAAAAAAGGGAGTTACCCACTTGGGATGTGCATTGCCATAATCTACTAACAATCTGCTAACAATTTCCTTAATTGGATTCTTTCTATGTTGCATTGGAGCTCTCCTTTTGTATAGCCAAACTCAACCTGTTGCTAAAATCAACTTGATTTTGCTCTTTCGGAAACCCGTGCCATTTCTTCTTAATTTCAGTAGATTTCAAGGAATGGATTCAAATGTGTTTTGGCTGTCAGTATTTAGCATCTGCTTTACCTCTTTCAGGTCTTCGTATATTATGGCCATAGTATTCTTATCCTCAGTGTGTTTGTTCCAGGTAACTGCATGATCAAAACAGGATCCCCAGCCAACTGTGAAGAAGAGAAAAAAGCATCAGTGTGACTTTCTTTTCATACTTTCTCCTCTCTGACTGATGAATTGCCCGTCCTTTCCACAGTACTGTACTCTGTAACAGAACGGCAGACACTTCCTCTGAATTTCCGTAGGTAAATGGTTTCCACACATAAATATGAATCTCACTATGTGCTTCCCTTCTGTTACTATGTTGTCATGCAACCATCTCTTAAAAGACAAAGCCTGACATCAGTCTAAATCTAGAATGTGGGTTGCTTAATGAGGTGTTTGGCCTCATGTTCAGAAAGAGTAAACACAACAAACTGCCATTTCATTAACACTTTGGATCTGCAGCATTTTCTCCATCACTAAGTGTCAGAATTTGACCTAATGCCATTGTCCAGCAACTCCCTCACCCTTGCCTGGAAGAGCAATACACCCAGAAGCAAAGCATCTTTTGGACATTCTCCCCCTTCTGGCATTCAGCTGCCTCCTTTATCATGACGTATGACCATCAGTAAACTAATTACAGCACAGCTGTTTTCCCACTGGTCCCATCAATTTTTTTTTTTAATATATTTTCTTTGTGTTGCTTTTTGAGCTACAATCAGTAACCGTAACAATACCATTCTCTTTCACTAATCCTGAGAAGGACTCATTCCAGGAGCTGTAACTGGGGATGCTTGGCACATTGCTGTGGAAACGGCAAAATGAAAGAAACAGCTGTATATTTAGGGTTTCAAAACAACACTACTATCTGGAAGAGGAGAAAAGAGGTCAACAGTTTTAGATCACTTATTTACTCTGGCAATCCAAATGAGTATAACCAAACATTCTGCAATCAATAACGTACTGGGGGCTGTAAAATATTTTATTATTTAAGACACTGAGAATAAAATTATAACATGACCACAGTAAAGACCTTGTTATCACTTCTAAGGTTTGACTATGTCATGAATCAATTGTAAAAAGAAGTAACTGGAAATACTGTAATATTGTCATTGAATACTATCCCATAACTAATTAAGACCTAGCAAATAGTAAGGAACCATTTGCCAACCCCCCGCTAGGAAAAGCTCCTTTGGAAAACCACAGCTGTTACAATCATCTCTGATTTTTTCAAAGTATGGCATTAGAAAAAAATACTGATAATACATGGAAAAAACTCCCTTAATCAATTATTTCCTGCATCTGTGGTGCATCTTGTAAGTGCTATGTATCTGCCACCGCTCAGTGATTGAGTACTAGAAATACAGAAGTTTTAACCACGTGACTCTTTGCAAGGAGACAGCCAATGTCCCTGAGATACTGCTGCCACATTCATTCCCATCACAGTCATGCATAGGAAAGAGTAGCATAAAAAAGAAAATCATTCCATCAATTTCAGAGCACTGCAACAGCTCTACATCTGCCCTTGCTTATGTTAACTACAGCACTCCTAAGGCTATTGTAAATTTTAGGGGTGCTAAGACAGTCTGGGCATCATCAGACTGCCACTGTCTCCATGTAGCTCTCACCCAATGCCACCTGTTCAGGCGCGAGAAAAGGACATGGCCCCAAAATCAATCTTGCACACTCGTGCTGTGAGAGAGATGAGGCTTGTTCTTGGAAAAAGAAAAAAAGGCCACCTTAGCTTTGTTCTTGAAAATAGACTTGGGAAGGTGATAATAATTCAGATGTGTTACCAAAATCCTTGGAGATGGAATCTATTTCATCCTCTTTAGAATCAAACAGAACCTCAAGTAGGAACAGGTTTATTATACGGGTGCAGCAATGATTTGTGAGAGTTGCCTGTGTGAAACAGCCCCTAATCAAAAGGCATTAGTCATCCAAGATTATCTTTTTTCTCCTCTCAGGAGAAATATCCTTACTTGCTGCATGACTTCATTTTAATAACTTGTGTGCGGGGGTGCAGGAAAGAGAAAACAACAGATTTTTAGAGTTTCGACAGTTTCTTTTCACTAAGTTGATATTTACCTGGATCTCCACGTTCGATAAACTGTAGTTCCGTGCTTACAGGCATACTCTAAATAGTCATGAATATTAAATCACTTAAAATCTGGATAAGCCATTTCACGCCTGCACCAAGAAACCCAAAGAACAAAATAAAACATATCAGAGGTTTCTATAAGATCTCAGAGCCTCCTCATTTAGTGGATTAATTCAGCATAATAATCATTGAATCACAACACTAAAGCACTCAAATGATTATAAACAAAATAATGTTTTCCACTAACAAGATCCTTGATGGTTTCCTAACTGTGACCTTCCTGATTCACTAATAGTTAGCATTTGGAAAGCTCTGGAGGCAGAACTGATTCAACAATGCACTTTACATTTTTTTTTAATATATTTATAAAAACAATCAGGGACAGAATAAAGGGAGCTTTCCTGTCTTTTACAGAGAAAAACATGGGAAGGTTCTGGGTAGGAGAAGGAAGGAATGAGCAAGAAACTTCACTCCTTCTGCTGAGGGAAGTGTTTGCCTCTCTCTGCTGCCCTGGGTCAAGGACAAAATGGCATCACCTATTCGATGGCACTGCCAGGGCTTGTCCTCAGTTGTGCCTGTGACTGTCTCCATAAAGCATATGCCAGAACAGGTGCCTAAAGAGCTTCCACCCATGGGACACCTGCAGCCTCCCCACTCCTCACCCTTCGGAAGGGATCTTGCAGTAGATCCTCCCCCACATTGCATCCCACTCCAGCCTAAGCCTGTGGCCAGCTCGTGGAGCTGTGCCATGGAGCCAGCTTCCCCAAGGTTTCCATGAATCACCTTTGCCCCACTGATGCTGATGATTGTTGGCAGGACAGAGCAAAGGAACAGTGTGCTCACCTTGGCCCGCAGCACCCTCCCCGTGTCCTTGTGGGCTTCCCATGGAGTTCACCGAGATGGAGCTGTCGAGCTGCTGCTGCCTCCTGCAGCGAGTCCCCTGTGAACACAGCTGCCAGATGCACTAACACGGAACACACAGTGCAAGCAGCCTTAATCTCATGCTTTCATTGGAAAGTTATTCCCAGAAAAGAATGAATTCCACCCTCTCTTACATAAAGTGCCTCAGGATGCTTGGATGGAAGCAGCAGATACATGTCATTTATACAGTAATGTATGCACAATGTGTACATGTCATTCAATGTCTTATAATACATATAGCACATTTATAAACCATGCAATATCATATTTATATATGACACTGTATGATGTATGTCATTTAAATCACTCTCCCATTTATGTATGAATCAGACTCAAAATCACTGAGTTTCCAAATCTGTGCCCACACCTGCCCAGATGTGCACAAAACCATATTTTATTTTAATGACAACCCACAACTGATAAACCTAAAATTCCTAATCTCTAAATCCTCTTACTTGTTTCTCATCCATCTCGCAAGTTCTGACTCCTAGAGCTCCACTGACCTTCACCCCTACCTTCTTTGCATCAGTTTTCCTCTCTACTACAGACACCTGAGCTGGGGAAAAACCTTTAATATAATGAGACTTTACTGTAATTTAACCTTCATAATAATAAGTAAAAGGCATGAGGGCAATATTAAACCTTTAAAAGAAAGCTTTTGAATGGCCTCTGTGTGAGTCCTTCATCAACCACGTTCATGCTGCCAAAGAGTTTGAGCCCTGCACGGAAAACACCTAAGAAGTTGGCAGAGGAAGCCAGACTCCAGGCTCCCAGGTTCAAGAGGGAAAGAGGCCTGCAGAGACATTTTTATTATTACTGCCTGGTGACACTATGTCTTGGTGAGTCTGAGTGTCACATCAATGAGCAAGAAGGAGCCTAGAAATTTCTGGTTTCAGACTGGGGCTGGTAATCTTTCCTTTTCATTCTTTACCCCTTTGTCTTGCCTTTTTCCCCCACAATTTGCAAGCTATTGGAAATTAGGACAAGAAACCTATTTAGCACGGTTTGAAAATGTAAAAGCAAATATCCAAATGGAAGAAAAATCCAAAATATTTACCTGCAGATTGTAACTACGCAGCACTGCACAAATGTATCATCTTCTCTCCCTCCTGCTTTCCTATTTCTTCTGTGAACCTCTCATATAGGCTTTTCTACCAGTGCCTGCCAGGTAAGAGAGTGCTGCATTCCGCAGAAAACTGTGGAGTTGTGTACTCTCTTTCCTACTGAATAACTGGCTGTGGTCTTTGGTAAAATTTTCCCCTGCTGCCCTACCACAAACTGGCCAATATTAACAGCATGAGATCTCTTTCTTTATCTCCTGATCCCTCTCCCTGAGCACAAGAGGTTTACAGAATTACTAAACCTCAGAGGCAATCAGCATCATGTCTGGAGTGCGTGAGAAATAAAAGCCAGTGTCAATATATGGCAAGTGACCTTTCAGACCTTTAAAGGGTCCAGCAGAACTATGGTCCTAAGCCCAAAGGAATTATGGGCTCCTTAAAATAAAGATGCACATTTCACATTTTGTGCCAGCTCCCCCCTTTTTTATTTGCCCTCTCTTAATTCAGTGTTCTATCTCACAGCTGCTATAAATTCACCCTAAAAACTACAGGCATACTTTTTAAACCTCTGATCCACCACAGCTTCTTTCCAGATCAGAAGTCACCAACCAGTGCGAATTCTACGCGCTGAACGAGACCCTGACCTAGGACCCTCTCTGGCTAGAGACGCATCTGATACCAAGCTAATGCAATGAATTCCTTTCCTGGGCCCATGTTTTCTCTAACAACCCTAGGCTTCTGCTGCTTGGGTTGATCCCATCCACTTAAAATCCTCAGAGGAGGAATTACTTTACTAAGACATCCCTCAGAGTGAAAGCAATACTTGCAAGCTCAGACACTAGGGAAAACAGATTTGGAAAATGAATCACCCTGTAAGAATGAGAAGCAAAAACATTGTATCTTATCTTATAAAACATTAAAGGGGGGAAAAAGCATCTTACAAAGAAAATAAAGTCCCTATTAAGAAAAATCTGAAGAGCTTTTATTTTGGCCATAAATTCAGTCCCATAATATGAGTTAAGAGCAATATGAATACTAAAAAACAATGAAAACAAAACTATTAAACAGAAAGAACACTACTGAGAGGGAAAGAACGCTGCCATTTTAGGTTCTGAATACCTATCTGTGGGAGCTTGTCTATACTAATGCCCTTTTCCATGTTAAAAACAATTAAATACTAAGATCTTCCATGGTACTGGGGGTTTTTTCACATCTCCATGATAAAACTAGGATCCCTTTTTAACGGCTGTGAGCCCGATGCATCTCATTGTGTCTGGAAGGAACACACAAACAGACCAGTGCTGGCTCCCAGAAGGATCTGAGCTGCTACTCTACCAGCTGATGATGCAGAAGTGCTGTGCTGCCATGCAAGGATGCTCCCTCGCCCATCTGGGGCACCTGTTCAGGACCCTTTAACATGGAGCAACAAGACCTGGCCCAGCCCCTTTGCTGTGGTGGGCACATGTGTTACCTAAAACAGCGAAGTGAGGACAGCAGGTACCCCCAGGCAGCAGGGAAAGGCGGTGGTGAGTGGGTGGGACCTGCTGCCAGTAGGCAGAATGCTGTCCCAAAATAGGTTCTTTCACCCTGTGGGCAAGAGGTCAATTTTATGTATTTACAATTCTGTGCAGAAAGGGGTGCTGGGTGACAAAACCTGCATGACCACTATCAAAACTTTTGACTATTTATACATTTTAGCAAACAAAGGCATTTATGTTCACTGGCTACAAGTTACCTAGTTCTCTTATTAATTAGTATTCTATTGCCGATTAACGATTCTCTCATTTCTCATGCTAATTAGTCCACATTGATCTGAGATCATTGAAAGCTGTTGAACCCTTAATCTTAACAAGGCAATTCTACCAACAAGTAACTTGTCTTTCTAACACCTGGATGTTGCAAAATGGGGAATACGCAAAATTTTCTTAAGAAAGGATGTTCTTTGATGTTTGATCTTTGTGTACTTTCAAGCCTTATAAAAAAGCAGGGAGATTCAATCCTGAAACAGAGAGCAGCTAACAAGTAGGCTCTAAGTGATGTCCCTGCCTGTGTTCAAAAAAACAAATTACCCATTGGAAGAACTGCCTTCTTAAAGTTTGGGGCTTGACATGCTTCACTGGTCTCAGACTCGGAGGGAGGTTAACAAAGCTTGGGAAGAAGGATGTACCACTGATAAAGTACACAAATTATGCAGAATTTGCAGGCCACAACATTTGGCAGAACTCTCAAGATGAGGAAAAAACTAATAAAGACCACTCAGCAACGGTGCTGAAATCAGCTCCAGCTGGGTAAGAGGTAATTTTAAAATTTAATTTTAATTTTATTTAATTTAATTTTTTTAATAAAAAATCTTCTCCAGCAGGGGAAGATCGTGACCACCAACTCATGTACCACTGACCCAAGAAACCCACCAACGCAGGATTGAAAGACTGAGCATGTAGATTAGTTAGCGTGGGAAGTGAGAAAATCATTAACAAGTAGAAGATAGAATACTAGTTAATAGCAGAACTACGTAACTCGTAGCCAATGTACGCTAGTTCCTGTGTTTGCTAAAATGTACAAATAGTAAAAAGCTTTGCTAGTCGGTGTGCTTGATTTTTGGAATACTACCAGAGCACCAGGGCTTGTGCAACTCTGACACAAATAATCAAAGTCTCTCTCGGGTGTGTAATTACTGCCAAATTTTGCACACCGGGTAACGAATCCCGTTTTTGCGGACAGCACGGACATCGCCTAGAGCTTGGTTAGCCGCTACCTGCTTCACGAAATTAACCCTGTTTTCTTTTCGACTAGGCCTGAAAGCACACACAAAGATCAAACACCAGGGGACATCCTTTCCTCTCCTAAGGAAACTTTTACACCTCCCACATTTTCCAACGCCCCGCCGGCCGCCGCCTCCCTAGAGGCGCAGCCGCCATGTCGGGGCCGAGGTGGGGGGGGGGGTACCTGGGCGGCGCTACCGGCGGAAGGCGCCGAGCCCCGGCCATGGCGCGGCGTGTCGTGAAGGGGCTGCTGCTGCTGGAGGCGGCGGGGCTGCTCGGCGCCCTGCTGCTCTACCGCGCCATGGACCGCAGCCAAGGTGCGGCGGGGCGGGCGGAGGTCGCACTTTCCCCCCCCGGCGGGGATGGGGGAGGAGGGCAGGGGAGGCTCCTCCAGGCCGGGGCCGCCGCGGGAGCACCGCGCACCGCCCGGGCTTTGCGAGGAAAACCTGCCGGTTTGGGGTCAGGAGTCCGGCTCGTGTGGGTGCAGGCGCGCAGGACGGGCCCCCGAGGGCAGGTCTCGAAGAACCGGCAGCTGTTTTAGGTTTTACAAAACCAAGCCCGCCGGGGAATCCTTGGGGAGGCAGCACGCCACCGCAGCGCGAGCAAAGCGCCTTCTTATAGTTAACAGCAAGGGCTCAAATAATGACTTAAAAAGGACAGAGGCTGTCCGTAAATGAGGCAGGGGTTGATCAGCCCTGCTTCAGGCATTTGGTGCTGAGCCCATGAAGGGACGCCTCGGCTGCGTCTGGGTCTCCGGGATTTGACATTTCCCAGGCTGAGGGCAGACCCGGCTGGCGTGAGCCAGCCAGCATCGTCTTCCAGATGATTTAGCTTCAGTCCCTCAAGCCTCACAGACTTACACCACCATGCCTAGGGAGCACAGAAATAAGATTAGTTACTGGAAGGATCTTTGCTCTGCAGAGCAATGGCCTTATTTTGCATCCAGGGATCTGGAGGGTGCAACAATAGCTTGACAGACCTGTGTCCCTGCAGGAAAAGTCAGGCTGTCCTGCTACCAAAAGGCAGCTGTTGCTTTGGCCGAGTGGGTAAGAGTCCACCCATTTCAACAGTATTGTGGCCTTTATGCCAAGTTCAAGCTGAACTTCGCCTACACTACATCAGTTTGCATTTGTTTTCCAGGATTCAGATGGCATCTGGTTGTTTGGCTATTTTTCTTTGCATTATTATTAAAGAAATATATAACAAACCCATGGAGAACGGATGTTTCAACCTGTCGTGGTAACTTGGTACTGAGCACTCACAGTTCTTTTCCCCCCTCCTTTTCAGTTCTAGATCCTTGTTTTTATATGCATAGGTAGACTTTCTTAAATTGCAGTTCTCTAAGGTGTAGTGAGCTCATCTAACAGCTCAGTGAGCTCAGAGTGAGGCTTTTACTGCTTTCTTTGCTCCAACACTAGAATGGATAACATCCTTCTGTGAGCTGCTGTAAATCCTTACAATAGCATAAAGCTACCATGATTTTCTAGTGAGTTGCCAGAGCGGCCCACAGAAGGATTCACTGAACACCTAAAGCTGCATAAGGAAATGAAGCAGTTTTCCCAGTTTTTATTTGCATGTCTGTCGACAAGAGGCATTCAGCTTCCTGTGTATCTGTAACTTGTATTTGGTTATCACAATTTGTGAGGAAGCTCAGAAAACAGTGATGATAGGGCTGCATGTACAAGTAACCTCAACACAGTCTGTGATTTTAAAAAATAAATTCAGATCATAGTGGTGGTTATAAATAAAGAGCTCAAACAAATTTAGGTAAAACGAATCTAGTTATAAAAATAGCGCATTTAATTACCTTAAAATATGTTGGGAAAGTAACTGATTTACCTTTCTTGACAGATTTCAGATACACAATGCAGAAGAGGTTTCCATCAATTCTGGAAGGTAGGTTTGCAGCTGTTGGCTTCAGAAGGATGGCTGAAGCTTCTGTTTCATCTTAATGTATAAAACCAGTGTTATTACTGCCTTAAACTTACTCCAGGAGACACTGCAGAAGTGTTTACTGCTTTGCTCAGGCATGGCTGGAGTGTCAGGCTGTTGGATAGAGACCTTGGAAATGGAGGAGTGTATATCCAATAAAACTAATCACAAAGTGGCTCTTCTTCAGATATGTCTAACTTGGATTTTCCTATCTTTCAGTTTATTACCAATCCAACGAGTGGTCTGGAATTCATGGCATAAGAGAGAATGACCAAATGACATGGTTAAGCAGCAAGAACTGAAGTAAGAAAAATGTGGGATTAATTTAAAAAATATTTTTGAATAATTATTTTTAAAATGTCTACATCAAAGTGCCCAGTTCATCTTCTTGATTTCTTGCCTTTGTACTTGTTTTTCAGCCCTCTGTGCCTGAACTGTTTCTTCCTCTTGATGATGCTTTTCACGTCCCTGTTGTGAAGCCACTTGTCACGCTCTATTTCCCACTGGATCTGTTTGACATCTGTAGGAGAGAAAGTGAGAAATAAGGAGCTGATGGATACCTCTTACCAAGATGTGGCATACAGATAAATCATGTAGAAGTTAATACTTGGCTACTGTATTTATAAACGTTTAAATAAAGTGCAAGTGAACTTTTTTTTTTTTTTGAGAAAATTTTGGGGTTTTTTCACTCCACAAAACAAATCCTACCATCTCAAAGCTCTAGACATTGATTTGTACTTTACTAATGCTAGAAACACTTGCATTAGGAGCAGCTGAAGAAAACTATGTCATGTTTTACTGACGCTGAGCTATTGTCCCAACTGTGTGGTTTCTGGCTGTGTATTTCAGTTGAAAGTGGTGCATCTTTTCAAGTACAGAATCTGAAGGGAAAGAATTAAACCAGCATTACAACTATCTGCTCTTTGTAGCGTGCACTTACTTGCATTATCTCTGTTGGCCATGGCGTTCATTCCAATATTGTCAAACTTGGACCCGGCGTTTTCATCCAGCAGATAGCCAAACTTCAAAGAGAGAAATTTTAGTATTTTATTACAAAGAAATGAGTAAAACGCTTGACCACTTTTTGCTAAGCACCAATCACACTCACCTCTTCCGCAGATGCCAGTATACCAGCATCTTGGCGTTTTTTCTTCTTTACTCGGTTGGTTCCTTCAAACAAAATACATTATGAGACAGAATTTCAAGTTCACAGAGACACTAAAACAAAGTGTTACCATGTTTTTAATTTTTAAAACCTATTTAATGAGACCATCTAAAATAGCTATGTTAGAAACCTTTACTCTCCACCTCCCCTCAGAAAAAAAGAGAAAAAGGTTTCTGAGAACTAAATAGCACAAATCCGTGCATCAGATGTAACAGATGTACAAACCACCAGTACGACTCCATCCTTCTTCAGAAGTTCCTCCTTCAACTCCCCTCCTTCAACAGCAGATTGTCACTCTGAATTAGCCAAGCTGCCTTGAGGACAACCCCCTTTTTATTTGAGGTTTATTCAAATCTGAATCCAGATCGAAAACTGTAGATAATACACTGTAGCAAACCCCTCAAATTCTGCAATTTTTTAGACTCTGTATTTGTATTGAGCTTTATCAGATGGAAATTATGGCAGTGTTTTCTTACCTTCCAGTGATCCCTCAAAATTCACATTCTTCTTTCTCTTGCCCTTTTTAGTAACAGACTTCAATTGCTTGTTCTTGTTTGGATCTGACAGAAAAAAGAAAAAAAGATACAAATCAATCTCTGATTCTCACACCACATACATGTATTTATAGCACAGCAGAGGCTAAAATTTCTTTTTAGACATATTTGTCATAATGGTCCAAGTCTTTACTTTAAAAAACAGCACACACAACCAAATCTGGATTTCCTCAACACAGACAATTAAAAATTGGTCAGTGCTGTGCCATCCTTTTTGTGTTTTTTCCACAGCACCAAAATAGAATGATACTAACATACATAAAATACAAAGGCTAAAAGCAGGCATTATGTAAACCCTGGATGTCTGCTTGGTAATTTTGGTGAAGTAATAATCTCATGAAAGATTAATCTGTTAACAGCTATATAAACAGTATATCTCCTGTACCCTGAATCATCTTCCTGTGGCCTTTAGTTATTCATTGAAATATTCCATTAATCTGTGCTTTTCCAGCCATATACATTATATTCTGTGTAAACTCTGCTATTTGTTTGAATAAATAAAACCATGCAGGTGCAAGAATCAGTTATTATAGTGGTAATAAAAATTTGGGTGCATAGCTGTATTAGAGGAGCAAGCTGTTACTTGTGAGACAGCAATTTACATAAAAGTTACCTCATCTAAAAAAATCAACATTAAGATTCTGAAGAAATATGAAAATTGCTAAGTACCCGATTCTTATATCTTTCTCTTTGAGATCTTTTAATATTTCTGCCTCCTGTAGCCAGTTATTTGTGCAGAAAGCTACTTTTGTTACTGCCATGTTCTCAGAATGAAAGAAACATGTCTCATTTGCAAGTTTTTATACACAGATGCCTAAATCCCACTCTTGCCTAGGAGACTGCCAGGAAATATTTCTCTTAAGACTTCATTGTCTAAAAAAAGACCTGTCATTTCTTTGCTTAAAATCCAAACTCCCCACCTAGGTAACTAAATCAGAATTTAAATGTGTAATTATGTATTATATAACATATTTTTATGGCTTTTTTTCTCCTGTTTTTTTCTAATAAATGCTACTTTACCTAGGTTGTTATCATCATCAGACACATCCATAAATACACCTCCCTCTTCATCCATATCCTCTTCAAAGTCTTCCTCCATACTTCCTAAGGAGACTTCCTCATCATCCAGATCACTGAATTCATCTTCATCGTCAGAATCCTCCCAGTCAGCACCAGATTCTTCACTGCTTTTGCCTTTCTTACCACCTTTGGTTTTCTTTTTTATATTACTAAAGAAAGATGTAACAAGCTTAGCACTTCATCCAGCAAAATACGGTTTAGATCCAGGTGACATCACCTACTGGCAAACACCATGTTAGAAAAGTTCAGCATCACTGCAAACTACTGTAAATGTAGGCTGAGACCTAAGATATATGCACTATGCACTCAGGTATGTTTTCAACATTAGTATAGAGAACTGTATTAAAGAAGTCAACCATTTTAAGAAGTTCTGGAGAGAATCCTATTCTGAAATTAGCAGAAATGTCAGCTTCAGTATTCTATCTTTGCTCCTTTTCAGAAAGTCTTTCTTATCAGGCACACAAACTGCTCTGCTAAACACCAGTCTAGATCATAAAAATTTTCCGGTTTCACTAGGAGTTTAGACTTCAATTCTCCTGTTACCCCAAGGAAAGTTTCTGTGCCAATTCAAAAACTGTATTGTAGATACTTGGAGTAAAAAAAAGAGGTTTCTTAATAATTTACAATTGGACTCGATGATCTTAAAGGTCTCTTCCAACTTTGATGACTCTATAACTAATGAAACTGCTAACTTCCTGAGAACTGAGCTCTGTGACCCTGGATTCCACAACGTTTATTTACTGTGCTGGGTCTGGTTACAACCAGTCCTTAAAGCAGTAGAACCATTATGCCTCATGGTGCTTCCTTTTGTCCTTGGTAATTCTCAGAGAGAAACCTGAGGCAATGAAAAACAAGATTTTACCTTGCTTAATGGGTCACTCCATTGTACAAATAACATACTACAGGTCTCTCACATGTCAAGCCAGCAAACATAAGCTCTGCAGGATCATCATGATCCATTAGGGGACACGCGGAAAAACAGCATTACACAGCGTTCAACTGCTACTGCCTTTTTTGCAAGGTGATATTCTGAGTCTTTCTGAAGAAGGTCTATCCAGTTTTGCACAGTCAAACTCTATTGAAACGAGATGTAAGAACCAATCTGAAGTCTTACCCAGCAAAATCAAGGTCGTCCTGGTCAATAACGGCATTATCAGCAGCTTCAAAATTATCTAGGGAGGAAACAAATTATTATTACAAAGCAAGCAAAGAAATATGAATTAAATCATTGCGTCCAACAAGTAGGGAAACCTGTTGGAGCAAGTCCAGAGGAGAGCTACAAAGATGACCAGATTGCTGGAGCACCTCTCCTATAAGGACAGGTTTGAGAGAGTTGGGATTGTTCAGCCTGGGTAAGAGACGGCTTCACGGTGACCTTATTGTGGCCTCCCAGTACCTAAAAGGGGCTACGAGAGAGCTGGGGGGAGACCTTTGACAAGAGCGTGAAGTGACAGGACAAGGGGGAAAGGCTTCAAACAGAAAGAGGTATGTTTAGATTAGGATATTAAGAAAGAATTCTTTACTGAGAGGGTACTGAGGCACTGGGACAGGCTGCCCAGAGAATGCGTGCATGCCCCATCCCTGGCAGTGTTCAGGGCCACATTTAATAGGGAGTAACCTAGTCTAGTGGAAGGTGTCCCTGCCCATGGCAGGGTGGCTGGAACTAGATGATCTTTAAGGTCTTGGGGTAACCAAAGCCATACTATGATTCTATAATTGCAAAATACCTAATTTTTAGGTATCATTTCCTAAACAGTTTATGTGATCTGCACCAGTAACAATGGGCCCTGATACCAAAGGTTCATGCTCCTATAGTAAGAAAAAATCCACAAACAGTTACCTAAAGCTGAACGAACCTTTTCTGAGAAAAATACTTTTCTTTGAAAAGTAATGGGAGTTTTATTTTATCCAGGATGTAATTTATGACCAGAATTGGATGACAAGGGAAGCAGACAGACACAGACAGACAACTGGCAAGTGATACAACTTAGGTGGCAGGTGGGATATCAGAAGTCTGAAACACTTGCACCCAGTCAGATAGAACAAAACCTAAATTAAGATACCCAAGCAAATGCCCTGTCAGCTAATCTGTATGTTCATTTTCAGATCAGAAGTATTCACTGTATTTTTTTAAGAAAAGGAAGCAGACTAGAGGTTGAAAGCTCCTATCATAGGATTCATTTTGGAATAATTTGCTACATAAAAAAGGAAATTAAAAAAATAATCTCAAAAATTACAGCTGTTCTGTTTCAAAAAGTAAATACTAACATTAGAGGGTCTTGATTTTATGAACCAAATTTTCATTAGAGATACTAACAATAAAAAGACAAATGCAATTATTAACAGATTCTTGTCATAACAAAGACCCTATTAATTGAGTCACTAAGAAAGAACTCTGCTATGAGAGTTCAGAATTCTCTAAAAATACTGCACAAAACAGTTATGGAGAGCTAATTACATTTTCTTTTCTCTAAATGCATATATTACTGTATAAGTAAAATATGAAATAATAAAATAGAGGACATTTTGTGGTACACAAGCAAATTTACATTCTGGAACAAATTCTACACTAATTCCAAAGCAAACAAAGTACATGACTCAGGAAGAGCTCAGACTATTGCAGAAGTACACCAAGGACCTTACTGAACAAATAACCTCATAAAATATGCTAGAAACAATGAGAGAAACTGCAAGCAAGATTGAAAAAGGCCAAGCAGTAAAGAAAAAATGGAAGCGTGCTGCTAGAAAAAGTTACTCAGACTACATTAGGAAAAGAACAAAAAAGGCATGAACTGCCACTGATGAGGTTTAAGCTCAAAATCAGATGATTTCCAACCACTCAAACAAGTTGACTACTGGAGTGGTGTGAGCAA